GATTTTTTTTTTTTTTTTTTTTGTTATTTGTCAAAACATTTGATTAAAATATCTGCGGCAGTGCCATATCACCTCTTCAAACATGAACCCAATCCAACTCTGATAAACACTGTGTGATTTAAACCTGGTGGTTAGATATGGAGCAAGTGAGTAAATAATGGCCTGTTGTTCAGAAATGAATGCTTGAAATTTCTTTACCAACAATGGATACCAAAACTGGGGAAGGAAAAACACTAATTCAGAAGTGCCAACAAGTCGTTTCTGAGCTCGCTGTCTGATTTTTAGTGAAACCCAGATTCTGTCAGATGGTGGGGTTTTTGTTTTTTGTTAAACAAAGTGTGCACCTGCTTAAAAAGCGACCTGTTAGTGCCTGAGGTTGAGAGCGTCTTCCTGAAATGAAACCTGAAACCTGGTTAGACCTGTTTCAGACTTTCACGCATGTACTGCCAGGCTCCCAACCCCCCAACCCCCAACCCCTCCCCTTCGAGCTTTGTTAGACTTCCGGGTAGAGCCAGTTTCTGTGTGTCGTTGTTATAGGGAGTGGCAGTGAGACACAAGAGACAGGTCTCTCTGTTGTGTGTTTGTGTCTGTATTTCCACCACCTTCTTCCACATTGAAAATCTAAACACATAAGTCTGCAAATATAAGTGACAGCTTAGTATAGTTACCAATAAATTGCTGCAGGAAAATGCTGCTGTTTTGCTTACTGTTTTCTTTTTACCTCCTTTTAGATTCACGGTAATAAATCCTACAGCCTGTCACCACACCCTTGTATTCCATGTAACATATTACAGAGTGCTTCATGTTTGTCACATTAACTGATGGTTTAACCCTGGCCCTTGTGTGCGTTTGTTTTTTTTGTTTTTTTAAACCAGGTGCCCTTCAGGCAACCCGCGCCCTCATGATTGTGAGCATTATTGTAACGCTGGCTGGTCTGGGTGTAGCTTGCATGGGAATGAAGTGTACCAACTGTGGCGGAGATGACAAAGTGCGCAAGTCTCGCACTGCAATGGGTGGTGGAATTATTATCTTGATTGGAGGTAAAGAGCGACTTGGTTGTCTTTAATTATTTATTTATTTTAAGAGGTTAACAGTTTGAATAATGTTGTTTATTCTGCCACAGCTTTGTGTGCCATTGTTGCCTGCTCTTGGTATGCGAATGACATCATCCGGGCCTTCTACAATCCCTTTACCCCTGTCAACACTAAGTATGTACATTACGATCTCAAACTGACCTTTGTGTACTCTGAATATCGAGTCATCTTGGCATAGTTCATCTGTTTGACTGACTAACTTTTTTTTCTAGGTATGAGTTCGGTGCTGCCATCTTCATTGCCTGGGCTGGTGCGTTCCTGACCGTTGTGGGAGGCGGCATTCTGGCAGCAAGCTGTCCAAAAAGCAAAGGGCGTCAAAGTGGACCAAAGTATCCCATCTCCAACCCCAGATCCAGTGGTAGCAACAAGGATTATGTATGAACAGGAACGTTCCTGGTTTGAGGCTGAAGGAACACTTTAACATTTACACTTGTCCAACTCAGAGATTGAAGCATTGCAAAGATGTATCGCAGGAGGTGGAGACCTCACTTTTTATTTTGTATTTTAGTTTTGCCAGTACTAACCTGTGATGTTACTCTATTTTATTAAATCCAGTAAAATATTTTAAATGATGGCTGTTTACCTGAGACCAAGATTATTGGCTTTGTTTTGTCTGGATCTGTACCTACTGCTTGCGTGCTTATATAATGTACACCAGACCACCACCCACGTACTATGTCAGTCGTGCCTCATTCTGCCAAAATGCTGTACTGTGACAGTGGCAGTAGACCCTTTAGATCAGTTACAGGTTTGGTTCAGTGAACCTCTGCAATGCACTTTGGTGTCTGAAGAGCTTTAGGGCGTGCCAGTTGTAAGCAAATCCCCCCCCCCAAACCAAATTCTTCTCATTGGCATGTGGCTGTGTTGTTATCTTGCTGCTGCCTTCAGAGAGTGCCATAACACATGAGGGAGCATAGTGGGTCAAGTTGCCAACAATGTCAACAATTGGGCAACAAATCCCGCCCCCCCCCCCAAAATAAATTAAAAAAAACAAACAAATATTTAATCTGCCATCCAAGATGAGAAGCTCTGTGCTACCAATATTACACATTTTGTTTCCCCTGTGTAAACACACAAATCGTACAACCACAAACTATTATAGTTTTTGTTTGTTTTTAATCATTTGCAGGAGTGAATTTGGAACTACAAATACAGATTTTTCTAAATTTCTAGTGTTTTGCTGAGAAATGTTGTGACCTTGTCTTTGACTTTCTGTCTTGATTACTATTGTTTTTTTTTGTTTTGTCACAATATCTGTTGCATACAATAAATTTTCAGTTTTTAAAAAAAGATTCTTTTTTGTTTTGCTTTTTTTATTTGTAAATTGGTGTTGTACATTAAAAATGGAAAGAATTTCTGGCTTTTAGATTTGTGCCATCTCAAAATGAAGACAATGAAAATATGGAGGGGAAATGCACTTCAAACAGTCTAACCGTAAACTGGCTGAGAAAACTGAAATATAAAAGAGCTGTGTTGGCTTGGAAAAGTTCGTATTTGATTAGAATGCACATGTGTTGTACTTCATGTAATGGTGCGCAGAAGCCAGCTTGTGCTGTAAGATATCTGAACCCCTTTGCGTTACACATGCATGGTTCTAGCATTTAGCAGTATTGCAGTGGAGACATCAGACTCCAGCTGCAGATAAATTTCTTATTGAGGAGGCTGAAATCATGAAGGCCACACAGTTCTCCCTCTAAAGGGAAGCCATCTTCCTTCCTTCACACATCATTTAGCTGGCTGCTTTGCTTTGCCTTTAATGCCACCTAGTGGTGTGTATCTCTCCATATATATCTATATCTATGTATATATATCTATATGTATATAGATATATATATGTATCCTCGCCGTTTATGAGGCTGAAGTGTCTTGCTCTAGATCTCCTTTTCTTATTCTGCCTGCCATTCTCTAATCATTACTCTTTCCTCCCTCCAGGCCAGATCATAAACCTACTTATGATACTGTTTTTTCTTAGAAGGGTCAAACCTTTAACGCCTCTCTGCCAGTGTCCCACAGCCTCAAAAAAAGAAACATCTATTGTCTTGTCCTGTAAGATTCAATTCAATTGCTTTTGGTTTATTGTCATATATAACAGATGCGTTCATGTGGAATCCATTTTGTTTTTAAAGTTGGAAAACATTTGTCTAAATTCTGAACACCATACATCCCCTACTCTAATCAGCCAGATAGCACTGCTAATCAGAAACGTACCACGCTGAATTGAAGGAACTTTTACTATACACATAATAGAAAGCCACATTGATACATAATACTTGTTAAATAAACAGGGTCTCTTGCGCAAGGCTTCTTGTGTTATAGGAACAGTTCAACTCACAGAGCTATTTACCCACCTGCATTGTTTAGGCATAGGCATGTGTACCCTTTCTTTAATACATCAGGATCAACCTTGTGGGACTCAAAATGTAAAAAAAATAAATCTATAAACCTTGTTATAAAACAACATTAACCGTACTTCTACTGAACTACATCCACACACCAGAAGAGGGAAGCCATCAGTGTTTAAAGCATGACCACAAACCCATTGTCACACTTCCCTCTGCAGTGTGAGTTGGCAGGTGTGGTTCAGCAAAGATGTACTTACTGCATGAAACTGCATTTTTTTTTCCTTTTATTAAAACAAAACAAAACACATCCTGTACCAATTACCATTATAATCAAAGGAAGGCAGATGCTTAACATCTCCCATAACAGGCAGCTTATGCGAAGAATCTAGATAACCAGTAAAATATGTAAACTTAATGTGGGGGTGAAGGTTCCCTTTTAAGCTGCACAATCATTCACAGGGTAAGCCATTTGCAGGTTGCTGCAGCACATCTGAATATTTGAGTAAAATGTGCTGACACCAGAGGGGTTCTTTATAGTGGCTTGATAAAACAAAATCAAAAGGATCTTGCTTAGAAACGTGGCCAGCGTACACTAAAGTGGCCTTGGCATTTAACAGCATTAAAAAGAGAACTTTAGAGCCCATCTGCATTTCTGTAAAATGGTTCCTTTGTCAGATGACAAAACACCTATAAAAAGTTATTTGTTCAAAGGTCACATGCAAACACTTGATTTTGTTGTTTGCCAGTCTCATCCCTTCTGTCAATGAAACACCAAGAGGAATGTTGTAATAGCTCAGAAACCTGATTTTAAATAAACAATAACAGAAAGAAACATTTATTATTTTATTTTATCAATTGAGGGACAGTCTGTTGAAAAGTCGTAAAAACTTGACAGCATGGAATGGTCTTATTTTAACAGGCCTCATGCACCGAGAACAGAATAACCACAGTTGGTCAAACTGCATCTTCAAACTTGATACCAGTAGAAAGTTCTATGAAACATTACACAATTCATTTGCAAATTAACTCACACATACAGTTACTGAGCATGTAACCTTTGGCCACTGGGCTGTCAGTAGGCATGGCAACACAGAGCAAACAGTTTCACAGAGCTGAAATGTGTTATTACTCCACTTCTAGGTTTGTTGCCCAAACCGATTGGCTGAATCGTTTCCCCTTGGACGGTAAAAATACATCGCCAACACGCTTTGAAAGGAGAGAAATTGCAGTCACAGGATTATGATGCAACAAATCTAAAACAATGTTCTAGAAAGAGTGACAAGTGTTCCTGTTCTTAATTATACTAACCCAAACAAACTTCACTGAATATTTTCAGTATTAGATCCCTGTTGAAGCTTGTATTTGTTTTTAAATTGTGTAATAGGTGTATTTTAACTGTTTCTTAATAAGAACATATCAAACTTACCAAAGTGGGGACTAAAAATAAAAAAAA